ACAGAGTAGTAACGTGGTCAGTGTTTATTGAATGAATGAGTAGCTATGGACTGAGAAGTGCTAGGTAGGAAAAGTAAAGAAAACAATTACAGATAATAATAATAGATCAGTGGCAGCTAATATTTATTGTTATGGATTGAATTATGTCCCCAAAAAATATATGTTGTAAATCCTAAACTCTATAACTGTGATTATAATCCCATTTGGGAATGGGTTGTCTTTGTTATGTTAATGGGCAGGATTAGTGTAGGGTATATTTTGAGTCAGTCTCTTTTGAGATATAAAAGAGATTAAACAAGGAGATTAAAGAAGTAGCTGTGGGGAAGGTAGATGCTAAGACACACGGAGAACACCCAGGAGCAGAAGCTCAAAAGAGACAAGGAAGGACCTTCGCCCAGAGGCAACAGAGAGAGAAAGCCTTCCCCTACAGCTGGTGCCCTGATTTCAGACTTCTAGCCTCCTAAACTGTGAGAAAATAAATTTCTGTTCGTCTAAGCCATCCACTTGTGGTATTTCTGTTATAGCAGCACCAGATTACTAAGACATTAAGCCTGCACTTTGGGTCAGACTCTGTCCTAAGGGCTTTCCATCATTTTGTCATATTTAATCCTTACAGTGATGCTAAGAGATAGTGACGAGTAATATTCTGATTTAACAGTGAAAGAAACTTGAGGCACGGAAAGTATAAATAAATTGCCAAAAGGCATGAGTTTATAAGTGACCCACCTCTAATTAACACTAGAACCTGTTGCCTTTAACCAGTAAATCTAGAGTGTTTATGGGGTGGGAATAGAAGGTGATGGGGAAGCATATTTCATTTTTAGCAATGCTGTTCTCAGGGAGCCTTTATTTAATTGGAGAGTCTTTGGTGTTAATTTCCAGATAATGTGTTATGGGGTACATTTGCTGGTAGTTAATCCTGTGTCTCCAGAAATGCGTTATGTGTCCCTCTTTGCTTTAATTGCTTAAACCCAAATCACTCTGTCCTTTCCAAGAGTGGAACCATCTGGACTTCATTCCAGGGGCAGTTTTGGTGGTTTCCCAAAGACTTTTCCAGGATGACACAGGACATGGCCTTTTGGGAAATCTAACTGGTATTTCCCCTCACCCACAGAAGGAGTGGCAAATGGCTGCTCAGTCAGGAGTTTCGGTTTAATGCTTCTTCCTTAGAAATTTGACTACAAAGGGACAGGTTAAAGAATACCCATTCCCTTATGCTCTGGTCCCTTGGAGAGCCAGGTCATGGCCCCTGAAGGCCACTTCTAGGGGATGTCAACTTCTGTCTTCCAGGGTGGTCCCTGCCCTCAGGGACACAGAATACCATCACCTGACAGAGGCTTGTTCTTAGGTGGCTGACGGTATCCCTGAGCCTGGGCCTAGGCCTGGCCACCAATGACAGGCCTGTTCTGAGCGTGAAGCTGCTGTGTCTTCCTCCTCAGTAATTATATTAGCTTTCTACTGTGTAACAAATTACCACAAATTTAGCTGCTTAAAATGACACATATTTATTATCTCACAGTTTCTGTAGCTGATCTGGGTTTCTCTGCTTCAAGGTCTCGCCAGGCTGCAATATAGATATTCGCCAGGGCTGCTGTTTCATCAAAGGCTTTGATTGGGGAAAGATCCATTTTCATGATCCCTCAGATTATTGACAGAATTCATCTCCTTGCAGCAGTAGGACCTTGCTGGTTATCAGTCAGAGGCTGCTGTCAGTTCCTAGGGGCCACCCACAATTCATTGCCACAACATGGCCCCTTACAACATGGCAGCTTACTTCTTCAGGCTAGCAAGGGGAATTTCTAGCTTCAGTCTTCTAAGATGGAGTCTTATAACGTAATCGGGGAGTGACATCTCATCACTTTTGCCATATTCTCCTGGTCCCATTTGCACTCAGGGAGAGGGATTGCAAAACAGTATGAACAGCAGGAAGTGGACATCATTGGGGATCACCCTAGGGTGTGTTCACCACAGCAACCACAGTGTTGAAACCCCGTCTTGTCTCCCTATAGGCATGCTTTGCTAGTGGGTTTAATGTTGTTTGCCATAGGATCAGTGGCAGGGAGGGGCTGCTCTGTGACTGTGCCCTCCACCTGGCTGTGGCCCCAGCCAGGCACACGGCTTTCCCTCACCAAGGGCTGACTCCAGGGCTCAGGCAGCAGCAGCTGGCCTCAGAGGGTGCAGGCGACTTTCCCACTTCCTCTCCCCTTCAGCCATCCTTCAGTGCTATAATCCTTTCATTTCAAATTATGGAGTTAATTCCTAAAGGCAAGGGAAGGGCCATTAGTTACTCATATATTCCCCCAGTAGGCATTGGATTTGCTTTTCCCAGAGACTGTGGGCTGAGAGGAGATTTTTCATGCTTCGTCTAGAAAATTTGTAATAATGCCTATTTTTGTTGCTCCTTCGTGCTCCTTTCAGTTCATATGTAACTAGGTTAATTATTTGATCCTCAAAAACAACCAGAGCTGCCTTTCTTCTTAGAGAACATCTCACCAAAGAACCATATCCTGTTCTAAAGATTACTTGTTATGAGTCTGGGCTGTGGGTTGCTTAAAGACAGACCTGTCTTTCCTCCATTCACTTTGAGTATTTCACTGAGTGAGTGTAGCATTTATTTGTTTAAAATGATTATTATTTCCAACTGAATCGTTAAAAATCTGAATAGGTATTTATAAATAACCTTTTGCTGCCTGATAGTAGTCTCTCTCTGACAAAGCAGCTGGAATTTTACATCTTAGAATCCGCACTCCCCTATCCCGACACCACACGGGTGGGTACGTATGACAGGAAGTCTTGATCAAGTCTTTTCTTTCAAAAGTCTGGACTCTTCTGCTTTAGTTCCTCTTCATATGTCCTTTGTTTGGAGGAAAAATGAGGACACGAGTCTAGTCTCTGACCAAGTATTAAGGTGAGGAGGCTAAGGTTTGGAATTGGTTTATTCCAGTCTGGCCCATTTAGAACTGGTTTATTCTTTCACATTTCAAAAGAATGTGCATCAGCACCCTCCCCCTGAAAGGATATGTTAAACCAAAAACCAGTTGCTATCATCGACTCACTTCCAACTTCTAACGACCCTGGAGGACAGAGTAGGACTGCCCCACAGCGTTTCCAAGGCTGCAGTCTTTATGGAAACAGACTGTCACGTCTTTCTCCCACTGAGTGGCTGGTGAGTTCAACCCGCCAGCCTTTCACTTAGCAGCTAAGCACTTAACTAGTATGCCACCAGGGCTCCTGAAAGGATATGTTGTTGTTGTTAGGTGCTGTCCAGTCAGTTCTGACTCATAGCGACCCTATGTACAACAGAACGTAACACTGCCTGGTCTTTTGCAATCCTCGCAGTCGTTGTTATGCTTGAGGCCATTGTTGCAGCCACTGTGTCAATCCAATTTGTTGAGGGTCTTCCTCTTTTTTGCTGACTGTCTACTTTACTAAGCATGATGTCCTTCTCCAGGAACTGATCCCTTCTGATAACATGTCCAAAGTATGTGAGACATAGCTTCATCATCCTTGCTTCTAAGGAGCATTCTGGAAGGATATGTTAGAGGAGAAAAATCAAATCAAAGGAAGCTCTCGAAGTTTGTGTACTCAGTCACAGTTGCACACCCGGGGAAATCCAAAACCTCTTTAATTTTTTCACATTTGTATTTCATGTAAATCATTCTCAGATGGTTAGTGGTAGCATAAATTGTTTCTAATGATCCATAAGAACCTTAGAAATTTAAAATTATTATAGCGAATACGTGTTCAGAAACTGTTTATTTGGTGGGATATATGTATCTTGAGAAGCTGAGAATTTTCTGGGCAGACCTGCTCTCAGAGGGGCTGCCAGGTGCCCTCTTTGGTAGAGCAGTCTCGTCAGCCTCTCCATTCCTCAGCCAATTGCCGGTACCGCTGTGTGTCTGCTGTATCCTCGACGAAGAGCCCAGAGCCCTGACTCCTGCCCCCTACAGCTAGCTCTCCCCAAGAGAGAACACATGCTGTCGACCCTTCTTAGCTGCAATCCCACCTCCCGTTACCTTGCGCCTGGCTGGTCCAAGGAATCGCCTTCAATTTCTGACCAGCGCATGGCTCCCAGGAGTTCCCCAGAGCCACGATAGTGTCCTACAGGAGCCCCTCAGAGGAATGGCTGTGAAGTGGTGGAATTTCCTTCTGGTGACTACTTGCTACTGGCTCTCCTGGAGCGTGGTGCAGTTTTGTACTGTGTGCTGCATACCGCATACATGTGCATATGTGGGAAAGACCGAAGCGGTCCCCCACCATGTGTGTGGAGAGACGGCAGGTATGTGCTGCAAAGCCTTGACACTGACCGGAAGACCAAAGGGGTTTGTCTGAAACAACCCTTTACATCCTCTCTGTTTTCCCAGAGTTTCTTCTTGTAGTTGCCTTATATTCTTTCTTTAATGCATCTTTAATTCTGATTGATTTTACCAGATTACCCTCTGTAGGGGTTGGACCCTTTTAAAGTCTTTTAATAATTAATTTTTAATTTTCTAAATGATATATGACTATATTCTTCTCTTCATTAAAAAATAAAGAAAAAATTAAAGACACAGCTAAAGTCACTTTTGGCCTCCCTCACCCTATCCCAGTTCCCATGAACACCCTCCGTACCCCCAGAGGTAACTGCTGTTTGTTGGTTTGGTGTATGTCTTACTAGTTCTTTTTCTATTCCCTGGCAGATATAAAGCAATGGAAAATATACACTATTGGAGTGTGTGTGTGTGTGTGTGTTGCTTAACTTACAAACCATGTTGTACTACCCCATCATTCTGCAATGATGAGTTTTACTAGATGGTATCTTGGAGGCCTTTCCATGATATAGATTTTTATATATTATTTCAGTTGTTTACCATAAATAATTTTATTTTGTAGCAGTGCCTTTTTGGTAATTACCTTTCAGGGCAAAATTGGGAGCTTCATTAAACACCAATTATTCTTGTTTTTTTATACGGTGTAAAAATCTTAGCCTTTGTGTGTGTTTGTGTTTTCTCTTTCTTCAGATCTCAGAAAACCGATCTTCACAATGAAGGCTACATCTTGGAACTAGATTGCTGTTCCTCCTTAGACCACCTGACAGACCAGAAAATCATCCCAGAGTTCATCAAGAAGGTAAGCACAGCAGTCAGGAGACATTGAACAGGCTCCCAGAGCATTCACCCTAGTGAGCAGGCAGGGGAGCTGGCTTAGGGCAGACCCACCACCCTCCAGAGGCCACACGGGAGCCAGCGCCTTCCCTCACCTGGACCTTTGGGCACAGTGGGGCAGCAGCCCCTCCCACACGTGTCTTAAGCTGGAGCTGGCTCTGGAACAAGATGGCTCTCTCCTACTCCAAAGCTGGCAGGGACCCTGTCTTCTAGGCTTGGAGTGGTGTTCACAGCTACCAGCTGCCAGGCCTGTGAGCCCACTGCTGGCGCTCCTCTCAAACCCTCAAGGTGGTGTGATCCCCCAGATATCCCCTTCTACTCATCTTGTGGGTCTTTGTTGCCACGAGTGCCCTTCCTTTCCTAGTGTGGGAACATGCCAGAGTCCTGTGGCTGTTGACATGAGAGTGTACCAGGGAAAATTGCATAGTTTGCAGGAAATTCATTTTCTTCCCTGAAATGTGTCTGGTTTTGAACTTTTCTTCATGCTACATGAGGTTTTGTGCCTAATTGCAGGGTCTACTTGAGTTTCAATATGATGACATTTACTGCAAAAGGAATGTCCTTGCCCCAAACTGGAGCTAAGTTCATTGCTTATTATTTATCTTATTCTCCCTTACCCAGTCTTCCAAAATAATCAACAATTTCTCATCCTGTACAGATGATTGTGATTTGTTTGAGGTCCAATCAGCCAGTTAGTGAATTCATTAATAAACATTGTTGACTGGCAGTTTGGGGAGAGAAATAGTATTGAGTGCTGGGATATAGGAGAGAACAAAATAGCCATGTCCCCACCTTCATGTCCTCATAGTGGGAAGGCGGACCGTGAATAATTGTGATGAACATTACGAGGAGCGAAGTATTGGAGACTGAGCAACACATGGGTACAGCGTGGTCTGGGATCAGAGGAGGTGCCTGAAGTTGAGATGGTGTTATGGATCGAATTGTGTCCCTCCAAAATATGTGTTGTAAATCCTAATCTCTATGCCGGTGATTATAATCCCATTTGGGAATAGGTTGTCTTTATTGTGTCAGTGAGGCAGGATTAGTGTAGGTTATGTCTTGAGTCAATCTCTTACAAGATATAAAAGGAGCAGATTAAGCAAGCACACGGGGGGGAAGATAGATGCTATACCACATAAAGATCACAAGGAGTCAGCAAACAAGGACCTTCCTCCAGAGCTGACAGAGAAAGCCATCCCTAGAACTGGTGCCCTGAATTTTAGACTTCTAACTGTTACCCGTAACCCATTGCTTTCAAGTCGATTCTGACTCATAGCGACCTTATAGGACAGAGTAGAACTGCCCCATAGGGTTTCCAAGGAGCACCTGGTGGATTCGAACTGCTAACCTTTTTGGTTAGCAGCCATAGCTCTTAACCACTATGCCACCAAGGTTTCCTTTGGACTTCTAGCCTTCTAAGTTGTGAGAAAATAAATTTCTGTTTGTTAAAGCCATCCATTTGTGGTATTTCTGTTATAGCAGCACTAGATAACTAAGACAGAATTTGGTACCAGAAAGTGGAGATGTGCTGCTCTAACAAATACCTACAATGTGGAAGTGGTTTTGGAATTGGGTAATGGATGGAGACTGGAAGAGTTTTAAGGTGCCTAATAGTAAAAGCCTAGATTGCCTTGAAGAGATTGTTGGTAGAATTATGGATGCCAAAGGTAATTCTGATGAGGGCTCAGAAGGAAGTGAGGAGAGCTATAAAGAAAGTCTTTATCATCTTAGACAGTACATATGGTACCAGCAGTAGAATGTTGCTAGAAATGTGAACATTAAATGTGCTTTGGTGAGGCTTTAAAAGGAGATGATGAACATGTGCTTGGACACTGAGAAAGGGTGATGCTTTTTATGCAGTGGCAAAGAACTTGTCTGAATTATGTTCAAATGTTTGGTGGAAGGTAGAACTTGTAAGTGACAAACTTGGATATCTGACTGAGGAGATTTCCAAGCAAGATCTTAAAGGACCTGCGTGGTTTCTCCTAGCCACTTATAATAAAATGGGAGAGGAAAGAGAGGGACTTAAAAATGAACTGTGCAAAATGAAAAAACTTCAAGATTTGGAAAATTTTGTTGTACAAACTAAGAACATGTGTCCTAGAACGTTCACCAAGGACATAGCTATACAATCTTTTGTTAAAGAGATTAAGCCTGTGACTGATGGTAGAACCAACTACCACAGCAGAAAACCCGTCAGCTTAAAGTGAAGAGGGCAGAGAAAGAAGGAAAGGAGAGAACGCTGTCTGCCTCTTGGCATTCTGCAGGCAGAAAGCAGGCCAAAAGAACTACATCTGTTGTCATCCAAGAAAAGGACCATCCCTGGGGCAGCTCAGAGATCAGCAGAACTGTTGGAAGGAGCACTGGAAACAGGGCTGACTCGGTTTCCAAGGGTGGAAGTCACGGCTTCCTAGGTTTAAAAGAGTCAGATTTTCACCAACTCGGTTCCAGAGTGGGGGCTGCGGTTCACGAGTGTCAGGGGGATGGGCCCCAGCCCACAGCTGAGGGGGCAGGCCTGCCTTGCCCAGCAGACAGAAAAACAGGGCCTACCAGGTCCGAGGGGGTGGGGTCGCCACTCAGATGAACTAGGAGAATGGGGCCGCCCAAAGCTGAGGGAGCAGAGTTGCTGTCCCAGTGGGCCTGGAAAACGGAGGTAAAGCCCAGGGCTGAGGGGCCTCTACCCAGAATCCAGAGAGCATGGCCAACACCCAGAGTCTAGATAGTAGGGCCCTTGCCCAGATGGGCCCAAACAACAGATTATTTTCAATCCTTGAAAGCTAATGTAAATTGTTCTGCTGGATTTTGGACTTGCTTGGTGCCCCCATATTCTTTCTTTCCCTCCAGTTTCTCCCATTTGTAATGGAACTGTCTACCTTGTGATTCTTCTACCATCATGCTTTAGGAGCAGATAACTTGTAGTCTAGATTTCACAAGTTCACAGATGAAAGGAATTTTGCTCTAGGATGGAATATGCCTAAAGTCTTGCCCATATTTGATTTAGATGATTCAGAATATAAGAGTTTGGACTTGGAGTTTTTTTAGACTTTTGGGATGATGTGATGAGGTGAATATATTTTGCATGCAGGAAGGACATAAATTTTGGGGGGCGGGGGCAAAGGGTAGAATGCTATAGATTGAATTGCATCCCCCAAAAACATGTGTTGTAACTCCTAACTTTTATGCCTGTGGTTATAATCCCATTTGGGAATGGGTTGTTTCTGTTATGTCAGTGAGGCAGGATTAGTGTAGGTATGTCTTGAGTCAATCTCTTACAAGATATAAAAGGAGCAGATTAAGCAAGCAGGCGGGGGGAAGATAGATGCCACATCACATGAAGATCACAAGGAGTCAAGGAACAAGGACCTTCCTCCAGAGCTGACAGAGAGAGAAAGCCATCCCCTAGAGATGGCGCCTGAAGTTTGGACTTCTAGCCTTCTAAATTGTGAGAAAATAAATTTCTGTTTGTTAAAGTCACCCATTTATGGTATTTCTGTTATAGCAGCACTAGAAAACTGAGACAGATGGGAAGATTGTTATTGTTGTTAACTGGTCTCGGTCATGGTGACCACATGCATAATGGAACAAAACAGTGCCTAGCACTGTGTCCTGCACCATCCCCATGATCAGTTGGGGATCGGACCACTGTGATCCATAGGGTTTTCATTGGCTGATTTTCAGAAGTAGATCCCTAGGCCTTTCTTAGTAGTCTGTCTTAGTCTGGAAGCTCCGCTTAAACCTGTTCAGCATCATAGCAACACACAGGCCTCCACTGACAGATGAGTGGTAGCTATGTATGAGGTGCATTGGCTGGGAATCGAACCCAGGTCTCCCACATGGAAGGCGAGCCCTGAACCACCACTGGATGGGGAGTTATTGGGTGATGGGGCTGTGCTGAGGCAGGTTGAGGAGCCCTCCAAACAGAGGCCTGAGGCAGGAGGGAGCGTATGGAATCAAAAGAAGGTCAGAGGGGCTGGAATAAAGAGAGGGAGAGTGAAGAGTGAGAGAAGAGGCCAGGGAGAGGCTGTAAAGCAACGGGAAGCTGTTGAGAGGATTTATGCAGAGGAGTGAGATTATTAGACTGTACCTTTAAAGGATCTGTGTTTCCTTTTGCCTCCCTCCTTTCCACATTTCCAGCCTCTACAGGCCCTGGGAATAACCACTCCTTCGTGGTGGAAACCAAGATTTGCAGACTAGGAATCAGACAATCTCTTAGGTCAAAATTTTTGATAATTTTATTGGGGGGATTGAGGTTCTTTCTACTCTGGTAGAATTCAGATCGTTATTTAAGAAATGGGGAGAAAATAGTTTTTGTTCATTTGTGCACTTATTTGCCATAAACTTGAAAACACGAGTGTTTTTATAAGTCATGTAGATATCTGTGTAAAAGGGCCATCTTCTCTGTACTGTGATCTGAGGAAAGTATTTTTCTGAACAATAGTTTTAGAAATAGTTGTGTAATTAAGACTCAGACACTTAGAATATTTGAAGTAATATTGACTGGATAAGATGAGGGCATGAGGCTCTGTCCACACTGTGAAATATGCTCTGTTAAAAATGTGTGGTTTCCAAAGCTAAGAAGTTTCCTGAATACAGTCAAATACTTTGAGAGACAGAGTAGCAGGGGTAGGGGTCTGGGGACCATGCTTTCAGAGGACATCTAGGTCAACTGGCATAACAAAGCTTATTAAGAAAATGTTCTGCATCCTACTTTGGTGAGTGGCATCTGGGGTCTTAAAAGCTTGCAAGTGACCATCTAAGATGCATCAGTTGGTCCCAACCACCTGGAGTAAAGGAGAATGAAGAACACCAAAGACACAAGGAAAGTTATTAGCCCAAGAGACAGAAAGGGCCACATAAACCAGAGACTTCATCAGCCTGAGACCAGAAGTACTAGATGGTGCCCAGCTACCACCAATGACCTCCCTGACAGGGAACACAACAGAAAGTCCCTGATGGAGCAGCAGA